CTTCTCCTCCTCTCTCTCTCCTCCTCTCTCTCTCTCTCTCTCTCTCTCTCTCTCACTCTTTCTCCCCTCTCTCCTTTCTTTCTTTTCGAAAATTTCACCTCGAAAAAAATAACATCGAAGATGGGTGCAGGTGCTGAGTTTACATTTATCGACAGGTGTTGTAAATACTCATAGTGACGTCCCGTAATTATTTTTTCTTTTCTCTATTTTATTCTATCGAATCGTTCCTTTCCTCTTTTCCTCGAATCGAACGCAACCCCGTTTTTTTTTTTGTGTGTGTAGTATAAGGCTTTTCGAGAAAGATGCGAATAAATCGTCTAACATAGACACGTCGTTTTCTAAAAAAGTCGTCGATTTCTAGCTTTATTCGTTTTCTTTTTATCAACGTGTTGCCACATTTCATATCTACGAACAGGCACGAGATTTCCAGTTTATTATTATTATTATTATTTTTTTTTTATCATGTTCATTCATCATGACACATGATCCAAACACTTGTTTAACCCATTATGGATCAAACGAAAAATGCTCGAAAATCGTGCGTTTATAGAATTATTAAAATTGAATTTCGACCAAAGTTCTCTTCTATTTTTTCCAAACAGTGAAAAAATCGTATATTTATAAAGTAGAGATATTGAAATTTAATTCCGATATATGACATAATCAGAGCTCCAAATTCTCTTTGTAAAAGAGAACAAGATTAATTTTTTCAAAATTCGCAAAATCCTATTTTCTTATCTAACTATTATGCTAAAATATTAAAACAAATAAGTAAATCTGCAAAAAGATGTTGCATCATTGATCCTTAATGGGTTAAAGTGTAAAACAAGTAAAGAAGTCTTTTTTTAAGAGATCAATTTCTTCGAGAAAATCAAATTTCCAATATATTCGCTTAATTATCGATACACTGATGTATCGAGATATAGAAATCATATGGTCGAATTTAATATAGAAAATGGTTCCTGTAAATGTCTAATTGGTCGTGACAGAAATTTATCGGTATAACGATATACATATAAAAATCAATCTAACAATTTCTACGGAATATCAACGTGCTACGAACATTCTAAGTACCACTTTAATTTGTTTTTTGTTGTTCATTGTTCACGGAACGACCACAATACGTTTTATAAATAGGCCTGGCGCACACATGATTGGTCGAGACAGAAGTTTCTCGCGGAAGGCAAGAGGTGCAAGACAAAGATAGAATCATATCGTCAACTTTAGACTCCTGTAATCGAAATTGTGAATGATACCGACAATCGAATTGTGAATCGTCGAAGGAACTTTTTGAGAAAGAAAAATCATTTTTGTACATGAAATGAAATTTTAACCGATATTTAATTGATATATGGAGAAATTGAAATATTAACTCTTTGATTAGTTTCTTAGATAGAGTTTCGAGGTGTTTAATGAAACGAAAGAAAAAGGTATTTGAAGAAATAAATTTAAAGTCCCTTCGATTTCACAGTATAAAAATTATTCCACGTTAGGAAACGTTGAATAACTATAGGGATAAAGTCGAGATAGAATTCTTTTTTATAGGTAAGTATTGAATTTTCAGTTTCTTAACCTCTTACGAATGTATTATGATGTTGAATGATTTATAGTGCGATACAATAAATATTTCCTAAATAAAACTTTTGTGCCCTAGTTTTGGTGCATATAAAATGGTCCATATATCATAGCCGTGTAAAATATTATTGTACGTAAGTCTTAAAAACAAAAGAATTAAACAAATATTATTGATTATAATCAAAATATAGTAATAAATATATTTTAAAGATTAATTTCTTTATCTTATAAATTATTATTATAGATTTTCAAATATATCAGAATGTTTCTTTAAAATAACGCAAGATATCGTGGACCATTTTGTGCATTGTAACATTCAAGGTAATAAATATTGTTTGTCAAACATCTTTAAATTAGAAGAAGAATTCAATTAAAATAGAAAATAACATGATCCTCATGTTTCAGATTCAGATGTTTAAGATTACAAATTCGTAAAACTACAAAGCTAGGCCAATTTCTTTAGATTTCTAACATCTTTTTTAACATTGTATGTCATCGTATTAGAATTTGTATTTACACACATTACATATGTGCTCGTATATATCGTGATCAACATATATCAAACTATCGAGGAACGCAACGTTATGAAAAGAAAGTGCACGAGGAACTATTAGAATATAATATTCTTTTGTACTACTATAAATTTAACTAAACGATCTAAAAATTTTTTAAATTGGCACTTAAAATCATATCTAACAATTTCCATTATTATTTTTTCTTTATAGAATTCAAGAATAACATTTGAATGATTCGTTAAAATTCATTAGATTTACTTCATTGATTTTTCTAATCTATTTTTCCTTTGATGATGTTCGAATATGTTCTTTTTTTTCAGATTTTTCTTCTTCTTCATGTGTTTTCAAGAATTCATTTGTTCTTATCTTCTGTCTCATTATGCTCGTGCGTAGAACGTTCCGGTTAATCGCATTAGAAATATACATATAATGCATCTATTCTATGTATACAACATGTTTGTTATATATATATATATTATTTTTTTTTTTGTACAGAGCTTTCTTTGGTTTTTGAAAAAGAAGGAGTTAGTCTTTTTATAATAATAACGAACAGTTTTCAATTGTATGCAAGGTGTTCGATTTGAGAATTTTTTTTCTTTTTTTCCCATTTTGTATTATAAATTAATATATCTTTTATCATGGAAGAACTATAATTACTTATTACTTTCCTTATAATTAGATTTCTAATCTTCTAACATTGTTACGTACAAATCAATATACATATAAATAAAATATTTCTATAAAAAAAAAAAAATAAAACTAAGTAAAACATTCATAAAGTGTCAACAATATTCAGTAATCTCTCAAATAAAGTAAAAAAAAAACTTATTTAAAATATCCTTAACATTTATTTCCTTTAACTTTAAATGATTTTAAAGTTAAAACAAGATTGCAAACTTCCAAGAAAAATTTTCTCTCTAGATATAGAAAGTTCGTTCATAAAATTTTATACCACGTTGATCGACTTTATCTTCAGAAACTGCGATAAGAAAGTTATTCCGTTCCTTATTTCCCATGCAAGATCTTTCAACCGCTATTTGCATCTATAAGTAACCGAAAGAATCTCTATCTATCGTACAATATTCTTTATCCAAGAGTAATATACCAAAGAGTAATAACATCAATAAAACGATATTGTGATCAGATAAAGTCCGAACACCAAGCGTACAACATAGAAAAGTGCACTTTCCTCAGTGACGATTCAAACTGAGTACACGTATGCATATCGATAATATATATATATATCTTTCTATATATATATAGAAAGTTACAAAAGATAAAAGAATCGAGTATAATATACACGTGCAGACTCTTCTCACCATTTATTCTTCATTTTACTTTTCAGAAGCTTTAACTTATATTTTTTCGTAATTTCATTTTCTCTTTAATTTTCCTTCATCTATATTCCTTTCTTTCTCTTTCTAATTTGGTTTGCAGCGATTCAGAAGTTCTTTGAATATATATATATATATATATATATATTATATATATTTTCATATATATATATATATATATTTTCATGACTAAATGAATCCATTTAATTAGCCGATATATTCTAACATCGATCATTATTAGGCTTCGTCGGAATGAGAGCTCTGAGAGCTGCGTTTCTTGTGATTGCCATGATGATGATGGTGATGCTGGTGATGCTGGTGATGATGCTCGGGATGCATTAACGCGTCGGTCTCGGGTTGATTCTGGTGACCGACCAAAAGATCCATCGTGCCTCGTGGAAGTCCAGCTTGATCATTGGCGGGAGGCGGAAGTGGCGTCGCCACAGGCGACTCGGTTGGTAATGGGACGCAATGTAACACATAGCATCTGACACCGGCCAAAATGATGCCTAAAAATTATAAGATTTTGTTGTATTATGAGAGATTTTTAAAATTGTGTTTTTTTATAAAAAGAAAGTGTTTATTAGAAAATTATTTACAGGGTCTACATGCTCTGTAATTGATAAATAATTTTTTAATAATAATTCAATAACGAAAATTATCAAAACGAAAGTTTTTGCCAAAGAAATAATTAAAATTAGAAATTTTCAATTAAGTTATATTCTCATATTTTTAAAATATATTGTACAGAAGTAAATAATAAAGTAATAACTGAACGTCTATCTAAATATTTGGATTGATTACTGCTAGATGTACATTTGCATATTATATAAGAAATCATTTGATATTCTTAATTAGAAATTTAATATTTTATAAATTTTTGTTATATTTACATGTATGTATTTATGTATTTTAGAGTGAAAATATAATTGTAAGTAAAATTTTCACAAATTATTCACTAGAAAACACTAATTGTTTCATTAATTACAAGTAATTGTCACATTGACTTATAAAAATAATTAACTCGTTTTTAATTATTAAATGGATTCATTTTTAGAATTTGCATAATCTAAATATTTTAATAAATAAATTTTTCTACAATGACAAACATCCTGTACTTAATTCAGAAATTTAATTACATATTAATTTAATAACATGAGTATGTACATATGTACAATTTGTTAATTTAAACCTTCGTTTAATAAATAAAGAAAATAAGCACCTGTGGTTGCGATAATTTTCGTAGGTTGAACCATAATTAGTTTAGTGTTATACAAATCCGATCAAAATTTACGTAGAACTTCCGAAAATCCGTAGAAAATTTATGTTAACCATTCATCTATAAATTTCTCATTAATATCGTATAATTAATACGCTTCGAAGTATATTTTTCGAATTTAATTCTCCTCTTCGCTAAGTTTACGATTGCGCTTTGATAATCGTTGCATATGAATTTCATCGAGATACTTTAATGAATGCAAATATTACAAAGTTTCTTAATTGCATCTCCATTTAAATATGGCTGGATAAAACAACGTTCTATCATCGAATTAGATAATCGTATATAATCTTTTTTTGTCGATAATCAAATCGTTTTAATTACTTTCATCAAAATGCGTTAATTAATATGAGATTTGATAATTGTACAAAATTTTTGAAAAAATATACAATGTTAAATAAATTATATAATTAAATGAATCTGAAAAAGAAAAGAAAATAAAAATTAAAAATAGAATTTTTATAATATTTTGGTAAAAAAAACTAACAAATTAATAAATTTTTTATACAAAAATGAATAAATATACCAAGAAATTTTTAATTTTATTTAAAATTAGGAA